GCTGGGCTCTGTCCTTCTATCAGGACCAGTCCTTGTCTGCATCCCCATTAACCTGGGGTTCTCTCCTGGGTCGTGTCCCTGGGGTCAGCCCTTGTCTCATGTATGCGCGTGTCCCCATCACACCCTGTGTCCCTGCAGGGCAGCAGCTATGGTGGGTGCTCAGCAGCTGGAGCTGGCTGCGGGCCGAGCAGCGCCAAGCACCGGGGAACACCCTTACGAATGCTTGGAGTGTGGCAAAGCCTTCAGATGGTCCTCACGCCTCGTCCACCACCAGCGCACCCACACAGGTGAACGGCCCTACAAGTGCTCCGAGTGCCCCAAAGCCTTCAAGGGCTCCTCAGCACTGCTCTACCACCAGCGCAGCCACACAGGCGAGCGGCCCTACAAATGCTCCGAGTGTCCCAAAGCCTTCAAGCGCTCGTCGCTGCTGCAGATCCACCAGAGCGTGCACACGGGGCTGCGCGCCTTCAAGTGTGCGCTGTGTGGTCTGGCCTTCAAGTGGTCCTCGCACTACCAGTACCACCTGCGGCAGCATACGGGTGAGCGGCCCTACAAGTGCACCTCCTGCCCCAAAGCCTTCAAGAACTCCTCCAGCCTCCGCCGCCACCGCCACATCCACACAGGCGAGCGGCCCTACGTCTGCTCTGCCTGCGGCAAGGCCTTCACCCAATCCACCAACCTCCGCCAACACCAGCGCACCCACACAGGAGAGCGGCCCTACGCCTGTTCCCATTGCTCCAAGACCTTCACTCATTCTTCCAACCTCCTCCTCCATCAGCGAACCCACTCCAGCACCCGGTCCCACAAGTGCCCGACTTGCCCCAAAGCCTTTGTCTCAGATGCCTGCTTGCAGAAGCATCTGCAGAGCCATGCCGCATCCCCGTTGTTGCCATCCCCGTTGTCCCCGTCCCAGCTGTCCCCACCACCACTGCTCCTGGAGGCAGTGGAGATGCTGTGGAAATGCGCTGAGTGCCACCTGGCTTTCCCCAGCCAGGAGCAGTTGCTGGGCCACCAACGCAGCCACCCACAGCCAGAAACACCAGGGGACGTCACCACAACGGCCACCCATCGCTGCCCCACCTGTGGCAAGACCTTCAAGAACAGCTCAGGGTTGGCACGGCACCGGCACAGCCACGGTGCTGAACGGCCCTACAAGTGCTCGCAGTGCCACAGGAGCTTTGGGCAGCTGGCTGGGTTGCTGGGCCACCAGCGGGGTCACTCGGCGGAAACACCGCATCCCCCTCCAGCGACCCCAACCCCGACCTCCGTACCGTCGGAGCGTCCCTACCAATGCACTGAGTGTGGCAAAGCCTTCAAGGGCTCCTCGGGGTTGCGTTACCACATGCGGGACCACACAGGCGAACGGCCCTACAAGTGCTCCGAGTGCCCCAAGGCCTTCAAGCGCTCTTCACTGCTCGCCATCCACCAGCGGGTGCACACGGGGCTGCGTGCCTTCAAGTGTGCCGAGTGCGGCCTCACCTTCAAGTGGTCCTCGCACTACCAGTACCACCTGCGGCTGCACACTGGCGAGCGGCCCTACGCCTGTCCCGACTGCCCCAAGGCCTTCAAGAACACCTCCTGCCTCCGCCGCCACCGGCAGCTGCACACAGGCGAGCGGCCTCACGCCTGCCCCATCTGCGGCAAGGCCTTCACCCAGACCTCCAACCTCCGCCAACACCAGCGCACCCACACGGGCGAGCGGCCCTATGCCTGTTCCCACTGCGGCAAAACCTTCACCCATTCCTCCAACCTCCAGCTCCACCAACGCACCCACTCCAGTGCCCGGCCCCACCAGTGTCCCCTCTGCCCCAAAGCCTTCGTCATGGCCTCCTACCTCCAGCGGCATCTCCGCACCCACGCAGCTGGCCCCAAAGGGTCCCCTCGCCCTGTCCCGGCACCGCAGCGTGACGGCCCCGTCCTGCAGGCTGCCCTCAGTCTGGAGGTGACGGCTCCTGATGCCCACACCTTCCTGCTGCTGCAGACGCCACAGGGCCTCCAGCTCATCCCCAGCCCTCCACCGGCCCCACAGAAGCTCATCCTGCTCCCCACAGCTTCCCAGCCTCCCCCCAAACACCAAGGGGAGACCCCGACCCCTGGGCAGAGCCTTCTGCTTGTGCCCAGCACGGGGACCACGCTGCCCACATTGCGGCTACAGGCAGTCACGGCTGTCCCACAGGGGACGGGGACCGGTATCCTCGTTCTGCAGGGCCTCCCCGAGCAGCCCCTGCACCCAGCAGGCATCCCGCAGGGACAGGCAGCGGTGGGGGGGGCGGCTGTGAGGCTGCAGGCCAATGAGGTGACAAATGTCCAGTTGCAGGCGCTGCCACAACCCACAGATGTCACCAGCATTCCGCTCCAAGCTACTGATGTGACAAATGTCCAGCTGCAAGCCCTGCCACAACCCACAGATGTCACCAACATCCAGCTCCAAGCCACTGAAGTGACGAATGTCCAGCTGCAAGCCCTGCCACAACCCACAGATGTCACCAACATCCAGATGCAAGCTACTGAGGTAGCAAATGTCCAGATGCAAGCTCTTCCACAGCCCTCGGATGTCTCCAACATTGAGCTGCAGGCTGCCGAGGTGACAAATGTCCATCTCCAAGCTCTGTCACAACCCTCTGAGGTCGCCAACATCCAGCTGCAAGCTGGTGAGGTGACCAATGTCCAGCTCCAAGCCTTGCCGCATCCCTTGGAGGTCACAAACATCCAGCTGCAAGCCCTGCCACAGTCCACAGATGTCACCAATGTTGAGCTGCAAGCCACTGAAGTGACAAACGTTCAGCTGCAAACCTTGCCACAACCATCAGAAGTGACCAGCATCCAACTGCAGGCCACTGAGGTGCCCAACGTGCAGCTCCAGACCACAGAGGTGACCAGTGTTCAGCTGCAGGCCACTGAGGTGCCCAACATCCAGCTCCAAAACACGGACGTAACAAATGTCCGTCTTGAGACCACAGATGTACCCGATGTCCATCTTGAAACCATGGAGGTGCCCAGTGTCCATCTTGAGACCACGGAGGTGCCCAGCGTCCATCTCCAAGCCACTGAGATGGCCAACATCCAGCTCCAAGCCACTGAAATGGCCAGTGTTCATCTCCCAGCCAACGATGTGGCCAACACTCATCTCCAAGGCACAGAGGTGACCAATCTCCATGTTGAGTCCACCGAAGTGCCCAACATCAATCTCCAAGCCACTGATGTGGCCAGTGTCCATCTCCAAGCCACAGAGGTGGCCAGTGTCCATCTGGAGACCTCAGAGGTGCCCAGCATCCACCTCCAAGCTACTGATATGGCCAACGTCCATCTCCAAGCCACCGAGGTGCCCAGCGTCCACCTTGAGACCATGGAGGTACCTGATGTTCATCTTGAGACTGTGGAGGTGCCCGATGTCCATCTCCAGACCACTGAGGTGACCAGTGTCCAGCTTCAAGCTGTGGAGGTGCCCAACATCCATCTCCAGACCACCGAGGTGCCCAACATCCAGCTCCAGACCCTGGAGGTGCCCCCAGTCCACTTACAGCCCCCATCGGGAGCCCAGTCAGCCCCTCTACCCTCCGGGGTGTCGCTTCCAGCAGGCCCAGAGGTGCTGCTGGTGCAGGGAGGGCCAGAACCGGCCATAGGGCTGGGTGTGCTGCAGACATCTGAAGGGCTTCGCAGTGTCCTGGTGCTGCAGGGCTCCAGTGAGCAGTCCCCAGTGCCCACCCCAGCACCCCCAAAAGTCCTGGTCCTCCGTGGGGAGCCTCGGCAGGGGGGAGTTAGTGAGGGTCCTGCTGTGGTGCAGCTGCTCCCTGGCTCCCCGACCCCCCACCTGCCAGTTGTGCAGGGGGTGCAGGTGCTGCCAGGGGCGCAGCTTGTGCATACCTTCTGAGGAGGAACACAGACCCCACAGCCATACCACTGGCTCCCATGGCCACCCTATGGCCCCCACAGTGACCACATGGCCTCTTCAGCGACATAGTGGATGCCGCAGGGCCATCCAGAGGCCTCCACGTGGCCCCCACAGCTGCTAGAACCTCTATAGCTACCCCATGCTCTCCTCTAAGGATCCTACAGACACCTTAGGGCCATTGCAGCCACCCCATAACATCTCACGGCCCCCTACCGGCCACCTTGTAGCCATTGCAGCCATCTCCTAGCATCTCCTGTCCATCCCACGGCTGCCTCTTGGCCACCTTATGGCCACTGCGGCCATCCCACAATGGCCATCTGTTGGATGCTGTATGATCGCTATAGACATCCCACAGCACCTGCTGGGCACCTTATGGCCACCGCAGACACTCTACAAGACTCCAGAGCCAACTGTTGGCCACCACAAACATCCCACAGCACCACATTACCATCTCATGGCCACCACAGACACCCCATAGCTATTTATGATCACCCCCTACTGGAATCCACAGCCACCTCCTGGACATTTTATGGCCACTCCTGCTACCCTACAGCCCACCAGAGACGATTTATTGTCCGTCTCATGGCCACCACTCCCATCCCATAGCCACCTTATGGCTACTGCAGCACCCCACGGCCACCCAGTGGCTGTCACACCAATCTTCTAGCACCTCATAGCCACGCCATATCCACCTCTTGACCACCTTGTGACCACCACAGCACCTCATGGCCACCACACCCATCCCATAACCACCTCATGGCCACCACAGCACCCTACAGGACTCCACTGCCACTTATAGGCCACCCCCTTAGTCGCGTCATGGCCACAACAGCGTGGGGGCGAGCAGCACTGCGGGCCGGTGAGCAACGGGGTGCGGGAGCCGGGGGGGCGGAACAGATGTAGCACGGTTTCCGCCCGAGCCGGATTAATAAACGGAGCGTCCCGGCGCGCACTTCCTCCTTCCGACGCGGATGGAATGGGAGAACCCCATTGGTCGCCGCGGGGGGCGGGGCCTCGGCAGGGGCGGAAGCAGCGGGAGGCGCTTGCGCAGTAGGTGGTGGTGGGGTTGGGAGGGGGGAGGGAGCGGGGCGGGCCGTGGCTGCTCATCGGGAGGGGGAACGGGAGCGCCTGGTGTCGGCTGTACAACCCCGCTGGGTCCACTATGCCCCCAGTACAACCCAGTGCAGCCCAGTACGGTACGTGTGACCCTCAGCGTGTTCCCAGTGTTACCGCTATACTCCAGTGTGGCCCTAGCACATCCCAGTATGGTCCCAGTATAGCCCCGTCTGACCCCGCTGTCCCTCAGAACGCTCCCATTAAACACCAGTATAGCCCCTAGTACCCCCCCAGTGTGCCCCCCATGTCTTCCAGTATGCCTGCAGCATGCCCCCAGTATGGCCTTTGGACCTCCTCCGGTATGTTCCCAGTAAAAATCAATATAATCCTAGCATGCCCCAGAGTGCCCACAGTATACCTCGTGTTCCCTGGTGTGGCCCAGTGTCCCCGTGTGTTTCCTCAGTATGGTACCGGCATACCCCAGTATGGCTGCTGTATATCCCATTATAGTCCCAGAATGCCCCCAGTCTGATCCCATTGTTCTTCGCAGTGCCCCCAGTATGGCCCCCAGTATACCCCAGTAGGGGGTATACCCTCAGTGTCCCCTAGTATGGCTCCTGAATACCCCAGCGTGGTCCCAGTATATCTCCACTGTTCTCCAGAATGCCCCCAGTCTGATCTCACTGCCCCCCAAAAATGCTTCCAGTTTCCCCCATTATGGCCCCCAGTAGACCTCAGTGTCCCCTAGAATGCTCCCCACGTCTCTCACTATGCTCCAACTGTCCCCAATACATCTCCCAGTGTCTCCCAGTATGCTCCCAGTGTCCCCCTTCCCCCCAGCACACAGTGGCTGCCCGTGTGTGTGTGTGCCCACAGATCTGCAGTGTCTCCCATGCACGTGTGCAGCCACTCACACGCGGCCCTGACTCCATGGCCACGTGCGGCCCTGTTCCCCCCCCCCCCCCCCCC